CTCTGTATTTCGAGCAAATTTAAACGTCTTAATACAAGCAAACATCTTATCGATTAAATAGACTATATAGTTGTGTCGTACGGAAAAATCATATATATTATGCAGATTCCTTCTTAATTTATTAAAGTTATACAATTTCACTCTTCTTAGTACGTAAATATTTGACACAAAAAGCAATAGTAATAAATAAATTTAAACCTGTTAAAATAGTATTTTCAAATAGACATTTAATATACAACGATAGAGATCATAATGGAATTCAATATATACTTTATGGAGGACAGAATACATTTGAAGTAAATTCAGCTTATAAAGTATTTTAAATGTTCAAATATTTTCGGGACGCGGCAACAATTCGATCGGCACGTGACCTTCGTGTTTGTTTTCCGATCTACAACGCGCCGTCACCGCCTCGCGTACACAAGGTCGCGCCGCTCTATCATTCGTGCGTTTTACACTAAATGAACAAGTAGTGGCAAAGCGATATTTTATCGTAAACTTTAACTTCAATAGTGCGATAACAGTATTTTGACAATAAGTTCGTGCGCAATTGTAATTATCTACGCTTCGCTTATGTATATTGAGTGCAATATACAATTCCTATCAACCTGAGGAAGAACAAGTCTAGAAGAGGCATCAGGAGACAGTGGAATAACTTTGGGATGAGTAATTAATTAGTTATATATTATTTCTTACGCGGAATTAATCGATTTTCTTTTAATTGGATTGTTCCTTTAGATGATTTAAAATATAAGGCTTAGAAAAAAAGCTATTTTTTTATTTTTTAAATTAAAAAATTTTCATTTTTTTTTTTTTTTTCAAAAAGCAAACGCGGATTATCTTTGTGTCTTGATACATTGTTAAATGCCAACATTTCGTAAACATTGCAGTTCAATTCATCAGGGTGAAAAACACAAAACTGGGAAATAACGCATAACTTGTAACCTTTATCATTGTAATGAATTCAGCCGTTACTTTTATTATTACTTTAGTCTCTTATTATCTTTATAATTTTTCAATAGATCGTATTATTTTAATTGATTAGAAGTATTTTATAATAGAAAATTTAAATATCGAAAATAATTTTGTACTTCTTCGACTGCATTCCGATAGTCAATATTGAAAATGTGTGGTATATATATAATATATATATGTAATATGAATTATAAATTTTTAGTATATATATATATATATATATATATATATATATATTGGTAGTGAATATTGAAATGAATTCTTAATAATAATATTAATGCTTAAAATGTTTAATGAAATTTGCACATTTGCAAATTACAATTTAATTTCCTAAACAGAAGCATAAATTAGAAAATTGAAATATTAATATAAAGAAAGATTTATTCATAAATAATAACTAGTTAAAAATTTTAAATTTCAATATTAATTTTTACAATATTGATTAAATAATGTAATTTTTAAATCTAATATAATGTAATATTTTACTTTAATATTACAAAAAATAATAAAAAACAAATCGTTACTTTCTAAGTAAGAATAACGGTAACGAGTTACTTTTTACAAAAAGTAACTGTAACGGTAACGAGTTATTTTTATGAAGTAACGTTTCTAACTCTGATAAAAAGCACTCTATCTTGATAAACTAAACTGCAATGTTCAACCGATATTTAACGATTTATCAAGACATCAAGACACGAAAAAACTCGCAAACTTTGCGTAACTTTTAAGTCTATAAACGTTATACGAAAAAAAGAAAAAGAAAACTTTTTTGGAGAATAAATATAATTATTTAATTAAATAGACTTAAAAGAAGAATAAAAAATTTGAAGCGCACTGTTATTTTTTTTGAAATTACTTATTTTGAGTTGCTGCAATTTGGTTGTTATATTTATATGTTACAATTTCATTATAATGTGCGGAGCAGATTATTTTAGTCGCTGTTGCACATCATATCGGTGAGTGATAAATTAAATTTATTTTGTATTGAAATAATGGATCTGTGAATATTCGAATATACGTGAAATTTATATATCAAAGAAGTGTGAGAATATTACAAATAAATAAAATTTCATAGATCCATTGCCTTAAAAAATGGACAGACTGGAATATAAATATTTAACTCTGAATATATGCAGTTACTTGTCAATTTGCTGTGCATATAAAACAGAGTTCATTTTGTTGACACATCATTTATTGGTGTATTTTGTTTTCACACACAAAATATAATACTAATTATGAGAGACATCGTTATATAAAATTTATAAAGCAATTTATCTCGCAAATATGTTGCGAGAATAAATAAAATACGGAAAGAATGATTTTGCACTGAAATATTTAAAAATTTAACTAAATATAGATTTAAAAATAATTTTATTAAACTATTAAATAATAATAAATGCTCAAGCGAGTTGGAATGCCATTATTTCTTGTGGCATTGCTCATACTTGATTTTTCTACATAATAATTATTTTGATGGTTCAAAAAATTATTTTTAGATCTGTATTTAGTTAAATTTTTAGATCTTCATTAAAATTGTTCTTTCCATGTTACAGATTAAAACAAGTAAGATAAGAAATTATATAAAAGGATAATAATAATAGATAATTATTTATAAAGATAGCAGAAAAATGATTATAATAACTATGTGTGTCATTTTATTTCTATATCTTTCTATCTTTTTATGAAATATTTTTCTTTCAAGATTATATATTATATTAATACATATATAATGTAAAAATGCAATATACCTACTCAGATATAATTCTTTCGATATATACCTTAGTAAAAATGAAAAAATGATTAAAAGTATTTCAGTCATTCTAGATATTTTATTAAATAAGAACATATAACATTTATTTTATTAT